AATCATCTGGGATGAGAAGGTTCCAAGAGGAACAACAGGAACCAAGAAGAATAAGATTTGGCTCCCTGGTCCAGGAGAGATGGCCACAAACTGGAATGCATCCAGCAGAGGCTACAAGGATGGTCAGAGGCTGGAGTACAAGGTGCATGAGGTGGATACACCTCCCAGAAACACTTATCCCAGCTACTCCAAGGCGTCCAACTCCCGAATCAATCCTCCATCTCACTCCAAATTTCTCCCACGTTACTGTTGACATGACTGCTCTCACCCACTGCTTGTGGGGACAGCACAAACCCTTGTCCGTGGGGAGAAAAGCCCGGTGATGGAATTCAGCTCCATTGAACCCTCTCCACAGAACCTCTGAAGGACACTTTAACCAAGGTCTGGAGTTCCCAAAATGTTGTTCTCAAAGGGCGACCTAACAGGCAGGGCATTAGGCTCAAAAACAAAGCCCACCATGTGCAGGGCTGCAGTTCTCCACCCCTGAAAACAGGTTTTCACCAGGTCCCTGTGCAACGTTCTCCTCCAGAGGGGCCCTTGCTGCACTGCTGAGTTTGAGGAAGGCAGGTGGAGTGGCTGGTGTCCAGAGCACGCAGCAGGAGTGTGCCCAGCAGCTCTTTGGTGGTGACTCTGGCCTGAGCCGGGGATTGCTGAGACCACCCAAGCGTGCAGGCCTGGAAGAGCTGGAAGAGGTTTAGCTGTCAGAGTTGCAGCATTTCACACGGCCTGAGAAGGACGCCCTGGGCAGAAAGCTTCTCGTGCGGCTGCACAGTGAGAAACGCTGCGAGCAGCGTCTGGCTGCGATTTGGAAAACCTTCTGCTAGGATCTGAAGTCTGAGAAACCTACAGAGAAACGCTGCGAGCAGCGTCTGGCTGCGGTTTGGAAAACCTTCTGCTAAGATCTGAAGTCTGAGAAACCTACGTGTCAACCACCATGCGATGGAAGTCCTACCTCCAGTGCCATCAGTATAGCACAGCCATAGTCGAGAGCTTGTCATGCTCACCAAGAACCGGGGATGCAGGGGAACGAGAAGATGCTGAATTAGGATTTGACTTCTGGGACGTAAGAGTTCCCTTAAGAGACCAGAAGAAGAAGGCTTTGCCCTGAAGCAAAATGGAAGAGGAGGTGATGGAGGACCTGACACAGCTGGAAGGAGAACTGACTGGAATGTAAACAATGGAAAGATCGAGATGTAAACAAGGGAACTAATTCGCTAGAAAATAGTGTGTTTAGTTAATAGCCAATAAAAGGTTTTGTAGATGACGGATTCACAGTAGTAAAAGACTATAAAAGTAGTTGTAAAAGAGCAATAAAGTGATTCTTCTTCACCACCTAGTGGAGTTCACTCTTTGATCCCGCCACAACACGGGGAGCCAGCAGCTTCTACCAACACAACCATGGACGTGGCTTTACTCGGAAGCAGTGACACGAGGCACTGCCCAGACAAAGCAGAGTCTCAGCTGGGGTGTTCTTAGTTCATCTGTTTCTGAGCAAAGCACAAGGAACTTGGAATAACAAATCCCAAATCACTTTTTATAAAAGTCATTTTTAAACTGCACATAGCCTCTGGTTAGGTGCACAACCACCTTCCGAGTTCAAGACCTCAACCCAGTTTAGTTCTGCTTGTTCTTTAAAATGACTGCAACAATCCAAAGCAAGTCTTGGCTGGCACGAACCATCACGGAGATGACACCCAAAGACCAAGAGGCTTTGAAAAAGAACCTGGGAAAACTCAGTGAGAGCTCTCATCTAGGCATCCGTGGCAGCTGAAGCCTCCACCTGCAGCCCAGCACACCCCACGGACACACTCATCTCCCCACACTGAGTCACGGACTTGATGATCCTTGAGGCCTTTTCCAACCTTCATGATTCTATGATTCTATGAGCAGGTGAGTCAGAGTCTGAGCACAAGCAGAAACCGCTAAGGAAACCACACCAAGACTTGAAATAAAGAAACCCAAGGATCAGGTATGGGACAGATATGTCACAGCAGAAAAGCCTTTGCACTCCTCAAAAACCCAGAATCAGGACACCAGGCAGAAGAGCTGGTGAGAAGCTGGCAGCAGGGATGGGTGCTGGTCACGACTGCGAGGCCAGTTAGGAACTGGGTGAGGTGGAAAGGGAAACGCAACTCCAGCTGGCACAATGGTCTGGAGTGCGAGAAGTGGAAAGCATCGCTGCTGCCTGGTCTCCAGGGGTCTACTGCCACTGTGTGACTCACAATTAATTACTAAGAGTGTGGCCTCTCAGCACTAACCATGACACTACAGCAAGATGGTTTCTACCACAGGGAGAGTCTCCATGAGAAGCCAGAGAGACCAATCCATCACACGTTTCTTGGCACCAGAACAACCAGGTACCTAGGAGCACCTCGTGGGTTTTTTTTGTAGCGAAAACAATAAAAAAAGGTCAAGGATAGTCAGCACAGTTTTGCTGAGAGACCAGCTGGGACATTAATATGACACATGACAAAAAGACTTGGCTTAAAGGAACCACGACGAGAAGGAACAAAAAAAAAAAAAAAAAAAAAAAAAACCAAACTCAGAAAGAGGTAAAGACGGTGTTTCTACAAAGATGAGACAAAGGTCTGACTGCAGCCAGGCAGCAGCAAGCTCTGCGGTGACCAACAGCAGAGGAAGTCACCAGATGGGAAAGGCAAAGCCAGATACTAGAGTATTTCCAACCTATTTCCAACTCCAGTACGAGAGTATTTCCACCCTAAGTACCCACGCTCAGCCCAGCAGTGTGCCATAAGCCTGGGTCTAAGGAATGGAGAGCCTGCAGAAGAACCTCTCACTATGCTGACCTGCTGCCCCTGGTTCAGCCTCGGCACCGGGGCAGGACGGGCTCGGTTGGGCAGCCGGGCAGGTCCAGCGCCAGAGGCGTTAGCGTGGACACCTGCCCACCGAGGGAAAGCATCTCTGCAGCTGCAGCGAGGTGAGGACTGCAGGCTGGGGCAATATCCAGGACAACGAGCAGAGCTGAACATCAACAGATGAGCTCTCAGGCACGCGAGCTGTTCCCCAGAACTGAAACAGAAGCCCAGCTTTACGAGTTAAATTCTGCTTAGTGCAGTCCTCTGCTTCTCTGCCTAGAAGAAAGGCATGCAGAGCTCCCTCTGCTTAACTATATGAGCTGATCCACCAAAAGTATCTCCTCCATCTCTAAACCCCATGTTGCCTGTTTTCTGAGCTCCCTGTGGCTCTCGTGCTGCCTCTACACATTGTGTACCTTCACCAAAAGGTAGCGATGGACGTTTTCAACCACCTCCAACACCATCTGCACATTCACAGTCGTCCTCTGCCATGCCCCTCTGCTCTGCCTTGACTGCAGACCTCATGTCCCAGCTGCAAATGCAGAAAATCCTCAAAGCTCTGGGCTACTGCACAGAGGTCACCCAGCACCCTCCAATCTTCACCAGTGGCACCCAAGCTCTCTTGCTGCTTGAAGCCCTGGCACAGGCTAGCCTCCATCCTAAGGGCAAACTTCAACACAACCTCTTCATCTTTCATCGACTCTTCCAAAAAAAAAAAAAATTCACAAACAGCAGTAAAATAACATGTTGGGTCGGAGTTCCCCTGGGTCCTCCTCAGAGCAACTGAGCTAAAATTCATTTGGTGCAGAATTACAATTCCTCCCGTGCAGCCAGACTGAACCTAAAGTCTCCCAACGGTACAGCAGAGGATGCAAGGCCCACAGTCCTGCCGCACAGCTGCACCGGGTCAAAGCACATGTTCGGAAACACTTACAGGCAGATGGTTTGAATGCCAAAAGTTTAGTAGCACTTGAGTCCCTCTCCCGACACACGCCGCAGTAGGGACACATCAGTCCATCTTACTTGGAGGTTACTCACCCACAGGTCCTTGCTGGTCACTTTTTGGCCTGAAACTAAAATAATTTTCTTAGTAATCCTTAAAGAAACATTGCTGCTGCCTTCTGACCGGCTCAGAGCTTCCAAAGCTAGTCCTGACCCTAACCCACAACCTGATCCCGGCACGGGCAGCCTGCGAGGGGGAGCACCGTTCACATGAGGGCTCTCAAGACACTTCCAAAAGGCAGAGGTGCTCACTGAGATCAGTGTCATGGGGAGAGGTCAGTAAATACAATTATTACTGGGTCTCAGTGACAGAGCCCTCCTACATGGAGAAAAAGGGGGATTTGTGATTTAACACAAAAACCGGCAGCCCAACCGGGCAGCACCCACGGATGTTTCTTGCCGGCTAACATGAGCTGCTTCTACCAATGCAGGGGTGAACGATGTCCTGTTAGCCAGTCCTGTCCCTCTCGCTGCCATGAGAGCTGGATTTAGTAATTTCTCCGGGCTGGGAGATGCTTCTAAGCGCAGCCACTAACACAGGCAATGTCAAGTCTTCCACTCTTCCCCCTCACAAAGACAAGCGTCTGAGAGCCTTGTGTTCTTAGAGGCACGTGCCATGAAGGACCAAGCTCCTCCAGCTCCCACCGTGAGTGCGTGACAGCACCTACCTCACCAGGTCTCCTGCGGGGCTGTATGGTGTGTAGGGCTGGGACTGAGTCTGTGGGCAATAAATACAGCGATGACTTTGTGGAGGTGGAAGAGACCTTTTTAATAAACAGGATTCAAATAAAATTAAAAAAAAAATCCCTCTGAACTGCCACTGCAGGAAGAGTTCAGATAACTAGCACAGAAGATGATGCTGTATGTGCACGATTGGGGGAGAAGGGAAGAAAAGAACAAGCTGTCACCAGCTTGATGAGCTTCCTCAGTAAATCAGCAGAAACCAGCTCAGCAAAACTCTCCGGATAAAATACTGGTGGATCCATAAGAAACAACTCAAATCAAAATAAAGAGAAATCCCTACATCAGAAGGCGCTACATGAGAATAACCAGCGAAATACTGAGTGCTGCCGGAGCCGCAGCGATGGCGGGGAGACAGGGACGATCTGCCAGTC